TGATTGAGACTATATTCTGTTGCTAGAGCCTATGGTCAGTTATCTGGTGTTATGTTCCTAGACCTACAGTCAGTTACATGGCCTGATGATTGAGACTATACTCTGTTCCTAGAGCCTATGATCATTATTCTGGTGTTATGTTCCTAGACCCACAGTCAGTTACATAGCCTGATGATTGAGACTATACTCTGTTCCTAGAGCCTATGATCAGTACTCTGGCCTACACTTGGAGGCCTATAGTCTACTCAAGCCTACACTTGGAGGCCTATGGTTTACTCAAGTCTACACTTGGAGGCCTATGGTCTACTCAAGTCTACACTTGGAGACATATGTTCTTCTCAAGCCTACACTTGGAGGCCTATGGTCTACTCAAGCCTACACTTGGAGGCCTATGGTTTACTCAAGTCTACACTTGGAGGCCTATGGTTTACTCAAGTCTACACATTGAGGCCTATGGTCTACTCAAGTCTACACTTTGAGGCATATGGTCTACTCAAGCCTATACTTCGAGGCCTATGGTCTACTCAAGTCTACACTTGGAGGCCTATGGTCTACTCAAGTCTACACTTGAAGGCCTATGGTCTGGTCAAGCCTACACTTGTAGGCCTATGGGCTACTCAAGCCTACACTTGGAGGCCTATGGTCTGCTCAAGTCTACACTTGGAGGCCTATGGTCTAGACTAAGGTATGTTGTTCTTAGACCTATGCTCAATACTTTTGCCTATTGTTGGAAGTTCTCTGGCCTAATGTAATAATTGTTACCTGTTTGTATCCGTGTAATGTAGCCACCTGTATAATGTGGCCACCTGTATAATGTAGTCACCTGTATAATGTTACCACCTGTATAATGTGGCCACCTGTATAATGTAGCCACCTGTATAAGACCAACTGTAAGCCGAGATCAAATATATGCTGGTATTGTTTATATGTATTGAAATGAAATCTGTGTAATGTTAAAACTAATCGAAATAAAAATACTGATCTCTTTGGTTCAAGACGTTCCTGTTAGACATGTTACTTAGACATCTATGTAATATCGAAAACTTGTCTATTCTGAACGGATGTATTTTTCTGTAGGTGTGAGGCGTGTGATTTGGGCAGGTTATCCTGAAATTGTCGCCAGTGGTTCCCCATGTTATCTATGTAGACTTTCCTCTATGTCCCACTAAACACATTTATGTACAATGAAACCTGTGTAACAGGAATGTTAGCCCTGCTGGTGTTTGCTTTATCCAGGTTATACATTAATTGTGATGTAAACGTGCAGTGCCGAGTTCATTTGTGTGTCAAGCTGGCATACCTAATGTTTAGGGGAAAAGAAGTGTTTTGAATTGGAATGAATTGTTTACATTGGTAGATTATTAGTCCATTGGTAGACTATTAAATTATTGGTCAATATAAGACTTGATTATGAATACAGGTAAACACTGTTTTTGACCTAATAAGCTCACCATTACTTAAATTATTGTGTTAATTTATGTCTTAAGTAGTGCTTATCTCTCTTGTTTGTATATAACTATTATTTTTCTGTAATCTGCTGACCAAAGAATCAGGTGAACAAAGGAGACACTTCACTTCCATGGTGTGATTGATGAATGTGTATTGTTGTTATGTATGATGGTTACACATTTTTGCCATTTCCAAGTATCTGATTATTCACAGGATTTTAATGACAAACTTAATATTCCTAAGTAAATATTTAGCTGCATTTTTTCAGCTATTATTTGTTCACAGTACCTGTGCAAAAAAGTTTGACCGTCGCAAAATTCCTACGTTTACAGTGTTTACAATTCTTGTTTTTTAGCACCCATACTTTTGTTTCATGTCTCGGTGGATAAAGATAGGTTTATTAGGTCAATTATGGTAATGGTTTGTGTCAGGTTTACAAAAAACTTGTTTGTCTTGTATTGTCAAATTATTGGTCAATATTAAAATATTGGCAATAAAGTTTATACAAATTAAGATTTCATTTGTGTTCAGATTTATATATAAAGAACCAATTTTCACAATCAGAATATACAAATTAAAGATTTCATTTGTGTTCAGATTTATATATAAAGAACCAATTTTCACAATCGGAATGAAAAAGGCAGCAACTTCAATGGGCAATCTCAAAATAACAAATAGTTCAGGGAAAGTTGGATTAATTGAAAACAGATTGCTGCCATGTTAGTAAATATTAGCTGTTCGAGTGCTGAACTAAATTTGTCTCCATGATTGTATTTTGCCAAATCACCGATCCCTAGGATGACTTTTATAGGTCACATTCGGCTTAATGAGTTTAAAAAACTATACACTTCTGAAGAGAGAAATACGAAACTGTCAACATTCACAATGCAATTCATTGAATTAACATAATATACAAAGATTCTTCCTAAGGTTTTTCATGATTTACTAAATAAAGAAAAGAACAAGAGGCCCAGAGGGCCTGTATCGCTCACCTGAATATGTTTAAAATAATTGGTATGAAGTAAAGATATAGCACTCATGGTAGGTGCTGTCAGTACATATGAAATTTCAGAAAGATCCATCCAGTACTTGAGATATAGCAGGAACAAACTTCAAACAGAGCCCCACCCCTATGCCCCTAGGGGGTCATACCCACCGTTTATACAAAATTGAGTCCCCTTGGCCCAAGGATGCTCCAGACTAAATAAGGATAAAATCCAGTCATTCGTACAGAAGAAGGTATTTGAAGAATTTGCTATGTTTCCCCTATTGGGCCCACCCTCCCTTCTGCCCCCAGGGGGGCCACACTCGCTGTTTATATGAAATTGAATCCCTTTTGCCCAAGGATGCTCCAGACTAAATTAGGATAAAATCCCTTAACCCCTATGGTAGAAGAACGATTTTAATGGTTTTACCTCTATTTCCCCTATTGGGCCCCGCCTCTCTGCCTCCAGGGGGACAGACACACCATTTATACAAAAGTTGTTCCCTTTTACCTAAGGATGCTTCATACCAAATTTGGACAAGTCGTGTCATTCCTACAAAAGATGAAGGATTTTGAAGAATTTGCTATGTTTCCCCTATTGGGCCCATCCCCCCTTCTGCCCCCAGGGGGGCCACACTCGCTGTTTATATGAAATTGAATCCCTTTTGCCCAAGGATGCTCCAGACTAAATTAGGATAAAATCCCTTATTCCCTGTGGTAGAAGAAGGATTATAAAGGTTTTACCTCTATTTCCCCTATTGGGCCCCACCCCTCAGGTCCCAGGGGGGCTACACCCACTGTATTACAAAACTGGTTCCCCTTCACCCAAGGATGCTCCACACCAAATATGGACCAAATCCTTTCATTCCTACAGAAGAAGGATTTTGAAGAATTTGCTATGTTCCCCTTATTGGGCCCCGCCCCTCAGCTCCCAGGAGGGTAAGACCCACCGGTTATACAAAATTTGTTCCCCTTTACCCTAGGATGCTCCACACCAAATATGGACTAAATCCTTTCATTCCTACAGAAGAAGGATTTAAAGAATAATTTGCTATGTTTCCCCTATTGGGCCCTGCCCCTTAGGCCCCTTGGGGAGCCAGACCCACGGTTAATACAAAATAGGTTCCCCTTCACCCAAGAATGCTTCCGACCAAATATGGACCAAATCCTTTCTTTCCTACAGAAGAAGAACTTGATTTTAAAGAATAATTTGCTATGTTTTCCCTATTGGACCCCACCCCTCAGACCCATGGGAGGCCAGACCCACCGTTTATACAAAATTGGTTCCCCTTCACCCAAGGATGCTTCATGCCAAATATGGAACAAATCCTTTCATTCCTACAGAAGAAGAAGGATTTTAAAGAATTTGTTATATTTCCCCTATTGGGCCCCGCACCTCAGCCCCCAGGTGGGCCAGACACAGGGTTTATACAAAATTGGTTCCCCTTCACCCAAGAATGCTTCAGACCAAATATGGACCAAATCCTTTCATTCCTTCAGAAGAAGAAGGATTTTAAAGAATTTACTATGTTTCCCCTATTGGGCCCAACCCCTCAGGCCCCAGGTGGGCCAGACACAGGGTTTATGCAAAATTGGTTCCCCTTCACCCAAGGATGCTTCATGCGAAATATGAAACAATTCCTTTTATTCCTACAGAAGAAGAAGGATTTTAAAGAATTTGATATATTTCCCCTATTGGGCCCCGCCCCTCAGCCCCCAGGGGGGCCAGACCCACCATATATACAAAATTTGTTCCCCTTCCCCCAAGGATGCTTCTGACCAAATTTGGTCAAAATCTTCTCAGTCCTTCATGACTAGTAGTGTTTTAAAGGAAAAGCTGACAGACGGACGACAGACGCTGCAGTATGGCATAAGCTCACCATGGTCCTTCGGACCAGGTGAGCTAAAAATCATAAAATGTCATAATCTGGGTCATCAAGTAACAAGAGGCCCATGGGCCTAAACGGTCACCTGAGTCCTACAGTATTTATTTTTGTTGTTAAAATATGTACCAATTTGAGTACAAAATAGTGAAGTATAACGTTAACTTAAGTTTGTCAGGACCATGAGCTGATCATTCCTAGACCGAGTTTCAGTTAAATCGGCCTATAGGAACTTGTTTTTAAGTTTGAAATAGTTTTTCAAAATGGTGGCCATATTGGATTTCTGATCGACCTGAAAAATAACAACACTTTGTCAGGCCCATGAGTCGATCATTCCTACAAAGTTTCAGTTCAATCTGCCCCGCAGAACTTGACTTTAAGTTTGAAATAGTTTTTCAAAATGGCGGCCGTGGCGGCCATATTGGATTCCTGATCGACCCTAAAAATAACAACACTTGGTCAGGGAGATGTCAGTAACCTTCCCATGAAATATTTATGAAATCCCTTTGCCAGTATTTCAGCTTAAGTTGAAAATGTAAAATGTTAACGGACAACGGACAACGGACAACGGACGATGGACGACGGACGACGGACGATGGAAGACGAAGACGGATAGCAATAGGTCACTTGAGCTAAAGCTTAGGTGACCTAAAAACCAACAAATCACAAAAATGCATGAGATTGTTTTTTTCCACAGGAAATTTATTATGAAAAAGAAACAAAAACATGACATCACAACTGATTTCACATTTAGTCTTGACACTTTGATGTTAGATAGGCTCCTACACAATGATGTATTGTGACAAGTGTTTTGTAAATCCTGGGTATAATATACCTTGTTTATCTTTATTGAATTACTACAATAAATTAGACATACATATTTTAGTGGTATTCTAATTTAATTGGTTATGGCACTTTAATATGGGCTAAATCATGACTGCCCTAATTGAAGTTACTATATATAGTTTTCTACTGCATGAACATTTCTCCATTGGATCTTTGAATAATTTAGCAATTTTAAATTAATTTACCAAGTGATACATGTACTACCAATTTTCTGTATGACAGAAATATTGCATGTGTGTTCAAAACAAATTATTGTAAGAATCTTTACACTATATCCCACTGTTAAGAGATTCTTTACATATACTACATTGCCATTTCATATGGTCAAAGTTTTGTGATAAAATTTCCTGGAACGAATTTGGGAGATTGAATTTCCAGTATTACTGTTTACTGTCAAAAGTCCTTTGTGTAATTGGAAATGCAATGAATTCACATGGTAAATGTCTCATATAAATTTTTAGAATTGAGAATACATGTATATCCACTTTGACTACTGCGAGAGATAATATCTATACATTAAATTCAAGCACTTCTTTGGTCACAGTTTTCGTATTGTACACACTTATAATAAACCAGAGGAGACCCAAGAGAAACTTTGTTACAGCCGGAAAGTGTTGAGTTGTAAGATATTTTCTCATCAGGGAAAACAAATGTTTTCTTATTATCAAGCTGTTGTCACAATGTTTGTAGTAAACTTGTTTTATCGTACATAGTTAGGATTGTGTCCACCAGATGGGAATGCACACCCCACGCTAAAACCTTGCCTCGACCAGCTGTCCATTATACACAACTGATTGTAGTCGGTCAGACTAGATAGCACTGGCTCACTTCTGGTCAATGGTTTATAGTGAATCTTTATACCAGTGGTCAAGCCCTGGACTCTTTGGTCAAGCTGAGTATCGAAGGCAATTCTTTCATCAGTGGCCAGGTCATAGTCTGCTGTCCAATCTCGTGTTGGTCAAACTGCATATCAAAGGCCATCTTTTCTGTCGTGGTTAAGCCTTTTACCAGAAATCAAGACTCCCACTTATGGTCAAGCTTTCTAATGATGGTCAAGCTTTCTATCATCAGAGGTGCAGCATGGTATCTGGATCCTGTCATTCCTCAGTGTAAAAGACGGTTGTATTCGGCCATCAACTGAGATTTCTTAACAGCATCCCATGTCCTAGCAGCGTAGTGAAACCTGCAGGTTCACAAACCATTAGTTTGGTTAAAAATAATTTCCACTGTTACTTCTTTGTAGGATTTATTTTTGTAAGATAACGAGAATCAGTGAACTGTAAAAGTTGTCAACCTTATCTAGTTTAGATAGAATTAAAACTGGAAAAAGATGTATAATTCTATTTTTAAATAAAGAAAATGCTGACTTATGAAAAAATAAATAGAAAACCCATTTTTTGCTGCAATACATATATATAAATAAAGTTAAATAACAGTGTAACTGAAAATAAGTTCTCAATCTTTTAAAAAAATATATTTAAACCAAATTTTGCATTGATTGTGACATCAGTTACCAGTTTTTCTCTGACAGTGTTGTGTGGGTAAGCTGTTCTCTGGGGAGAGCGTAGATCTGCTGGCGAAGTCCGTTGATCAGCGTAGTAAAGCTTGGATAACCTCTGTACTCGGGCAGCAGGGTCAGGATTGCATCTGGTCAATGTGAAAAATGAAAAAAAAAAAATACTGTATTCACCTCACCTATGATTTTTTAAAAATTGGTCACAAAATAATTTTCTTTTTTTCCTCATTTTTGATATTTTTTTCCAACATAAACTTTCCTTATGTGGACCATAAAAATCTTCTTACAGTTTTGATTATGAAACTACAGTGTTAATACATGTTCTTTTTTATAAATTGTTGAAAAATATGATATATTTAATTTTAGGAGGAAATATCTATTCTTTCCCAATAAAACATGATTTATTGCCGACTTTGATTCATACTTCTAACAAAGTACTTTTACAATGTTGCTTTCTATATTAACATTTCACTTTCAGCCTTTTGCATTATATTTACTCTCGATCTGTGTCTTGTTGGACAACAAGGCAGTTGGGCTATATTCCACACAGGCTAATGCTAATATATAAACCATGTTTTACTTCTATAGAGGAATTACTGCCTTTAAATAACTTTCATCCAATGACCTTGTGACCTTGACTCTGATAAATACAATCAAAAATAATTTACCTTGATCAGATTTGTTGGTGGCATCGACACGGGGCAGAGGGTACAAGTTGACGTCTGTCGTAACTGATCTCCGGTTGAGTCCTGGCAGCATTTTCCCGTCGGCCATCGTCACTGACCCTAAAGAATAATGTTTGGAGTGATAGATGGGTGACTTAAGGACGTATGCTACCTTACTGTTTTCATAACAGCTCAATACTAAGATGTAGGTTTTTTGGAAAATTATAATTTGGACTTAGTTTTATCAACTGATGACAAACCCGAAAGGTATACATCAGAATGTTTGTGTTGGTATCACTCTGTTCCTTCTCAAATACCAGTCTTACCAAAAAACTTGAAAACAATTTTTATTAGGTAATCATTGGTTCAGATTTGAATGTGGTTTAAGGTAATTTATCTGATTAACTTTGATGTAGTCATGGACATATTATTCTGTTCAAATCAGATTCAGTATAAAAATTAAATCTACTGTTTGATAGTCTATAATAAAACACACACACACAAACACTGATTAGATATTGAAGGTCACCTCGGTATTTCAGCTTGGATGTTTCAAAGACCTTCATCAGTGTATGCTGCATGGAGTTGAATGTTTCCACATTAAAATGATCCCACACTGCTTTGTTCTGTATGAAAACTGAAAATTGGAAAAGAAACAATTAATGAATTTAAAAAAGTTAATTAACATGCACAGAAATAGTGACAAAGAAAATGTTGATAAAAATACATCAAATGTGTAACTTTAAGGACATCCTGTCAATTTTACTGGAGTTATTGACTGTTTTTTTTTTGCCATTGTTAATTGAATTCCACAGGCAGGTTATATATCATTTTATTACGGATACTTTGCGACATCCTTCCGAGAAACTGCAAATACTTTGATAAAGAAAGATAATTTATGACTACAAAATCAAGCCCAAAATTTGGTTTCTTTTTAAAAACAAAATGCTTGCTTTAAAAACAAGAGGCCCAAGGGACTTAGCGGTCACCTGAGTTATATCATAGGTACTGGCAGCTTTATTTTATTGTTTAGATGTGATGTGGAAATCAGCATGTAAACTATAAGTGAAATACAATACTTGTCATGTCATCAAAGCATAAGAATTTGAAAATATTGGTAAATGTTCCCTTTGGGGCCCCACCCTAGCCCCTGGGGAAGGGGCAGGAATCC